AGCTAGTAAAAGAGGTGCAAACTTGGTGGGTGATCAGCATTTGGTAAGAGCTATGATCACACAAAATTAGAAGTACTTAGCTATCATGGCTCTTGAGTTACAGGGGCGTCGCTACTATTGCGCGATTATTTTTTGAAAAAATAATCCCGTCCTCAAAGGGTTAAAAAGTCTGAGTGACTTTTTCGAGTCAATTGCTGGTCAGGGACTAGGCTGGGTCTATAACGGCGGTAAGATTTATTATAATATATCATTTTGTAGCTCAAACAAATCTGAATCAAACGCTGCTAAAAGTAGCTCGAAACGTTTTAATTACAAAAAAGAAATTCTAGATGATTCTTTAAGCGACTCAAGAAAGTGACTCGGCCATCTCTGTCCGCTAGCTACATTCTGCTCTGTTTTCTGATAAATAACTAACAATAATCATTATTTTGGGGTATAACACTTCGTTTCGAATTTTACACTTTTTCTGTCACATAGCTGAACAAATAGTTAACAAAAGGTTTAATATTCAAAATTCAATTAGTTAGTGGATCTTCAGTGTAAAATATGATTTCTCATTTCGTTCTAAAAGAGAATTTTCGTCGACAATACTGTGTGCGCCACACATGAAATAGTGTATGACCACGAATTTTTCACTTGTAATAAAAACGTTCATGAAAATTTTCATGAGATTCTCTCCACGCGCTCACAAAAGAATGCGCAGAAGTGTATACAGCCATTCGTTTCATATGAGAGTTTCTGTTAGTTTCTTGTCATCATTTGACAGTCGGCATCTGGTTTTGCTTTATTCTAAAACCTGTCGAGCATAATGAAAGTACTACGCATAGCACTACATCATCAACGACCGTACAGTCGTTACTTTGTCTGTACTTTTGTAGAAAAATCGCAAAACTTTGCTTTTTTCGTAACTGATAATTTTTTTACTGGAGATTAGTTGAATCGGGCACATTCCTAATTAAGTATTAGTCGTTAAAAGCGAATAATATAAATAGTTGAACTGAAACGTCTTTCCATTTCAATAGGAAACTGTCTGTAGGAAAATTCTACTTCGGGAAAAACTTTCACGCGAAGTTTATGGTGAAATTCGTTAATTCGTATTAATTGATGCGTTATTTGTTCATATTCACATACTTGTTAGATACTTCTATGTTCGACTCCTAGTGAAGTTATGGAAAAAATATTTAGTTCATCCAATTCACTTAGTTCATTTAGAGTATACTATATTCGATTTTAAATGAAAGTTTTTTGTATTAACTGTCGCTTCACACGTATGTTGACACAAGTAAGGAAGTTAAGTGAAAATTTGAACATTTTTTTTCAAAAAAAATTCTTATGAAGTCTCACGCTAGATTACGTGTGAAGCATCCTGAAGATTTATCGAACGAGTATGTAAATTTATTAAAAATTTAATCTATATTTTGACAATCGTCATGAAAATACTGCTTATCTATAATTTAAAGTATTGGGGGATCGATGCTCACTCTCTAAAAATATGTATAGAGAAAAATGCAAAATTTTACGAGAAAACTACAGTGGATTAACGTGTAAGAAAAATTGTATCAGGTCAGATCAGTCACAATAGAACGAACTATAGATCAACACTGGGACATGAGCAAGTTAATGGAGTGAGAAGATACCTTTGTTCTTTATTCAATAGCTAACATGTTTTCATACTTGATCAAACCGCAAAATGACGAGGAAACCACCCGCGATGGTAAATCGCGTTTTGATCGAGATCTAGTGGGTTATAGGTTATCGGCCGTGCTAATCCTGAATATGATTATAGGGGTTCCACATGATCATTCGAAGATCCGGTTTTCTGGAAAACAGGTTTTCTAGAGACTCTGGAAAATAACCAAAACCTTACTCAACAAGGCATAGTTGTAACGCGCAAATGTCTGATTAAAATGAGACATCCGAGCTCTACCTGACCTTTCTTTGCAAACTTATAGATCTTACAAAACAAACCCTAAATGCTCATTGTCAGCTCAAAGCTACAGAAATAAGAAGAAAATAATTTAGGGGTTTTCGTGTAAATTCTATAACTTTGCAAAGAAAGGCCGTGTAGAGCTGAGAGATGTCTCGTTCTAATAAAAAATTTGTGCGTTACAACTACGTCTTATTAAGAAAGGTTTTGGTTATCTTTTAGACTTTCTGGAAAACTGGATGTTCGAAGGGCTATGGGGAAGAACCCCCATGGTCATATTCGGAATCAGCATGGTCAATAACCTATAATCCACTAGATTTCGATCAAACAGCAATTTTACGATCGAAATCCTTGAAAATGAGACCCTGAGATATGAGGTCCTTTCAAAAATTCTACGAACATCATTGTGGCTTCAAAATAGCACCTAATACTGTGCAATATCTATAGACTCTTCAGCCAAAGTATGAAGGTTAATTATTGTACGGTTCCGAAAATCCGTTTCGAATGAGCAGACGCCAATGTAACATACACAGGGAGATGAACTTGAAGAAATAGGGTCGCCGGAGGAGGAGGAGGAGGGACTATTTTGGCGGTTTACTGTAGTAAATTGCTGCAACAAATCGCACTTAAATTAAGTATAAATGAATATTCTCGTTGTTCGGTGTATGTGAGGAAATAAAAAGATTAATGAGACATTTCCTTCAGACATAATTTAAGGCCATTATTACTACTAAATCATGTAATTGACGTTTACCTGAAGTGAAAAAGACACTCTCTAAACATTTAGAAACGTTATCACTGTTGCTTGTGTATGTGTATTTGGAAGAGAAATTATAATAACAAATTGATTATGACACGTTCGACGCACACTGCTGAATTTTGCAAATTGTAGTACAGTACCACTCGACGTTAGAACAAGAAAAAAATGCATTTTTATGAAGAGTTTCGAGAGGTACTAAGAAGTTGTTAAAAAAAGAATTTGAAAGAGTTGTCGAAGGACATATGATGCCAAGACAAAAACAAAAATTTTAGAGGTCCTTAAACGATTGATATTATTTATTTGTAAGAATATAATTCTGTGTCAGTTAACCACAGTTACGGTTATTAAGCAAAATTTAAAAAATAAAGCCAATCTCTATGACTAAATTGAATTAGCTTTAAAACATCTTTTTTAGAATTTGGTTAAGTTTCTAATCAATTATGGATTATGGAGTAGTACCAATGTGTACTATAATTACTCTCTCTCTTAAATTAGACGTAATAAAAAACTATTGAATTTTTTCATTAAATTAATGGCATATAACACATTTAAATAACTTCTCACCCATTCATTTTTAATTAACTAAACAAACTATGAAGGATATGTGTGTTGATAAGGGCATCCTTCAGGGCATAAAATTAAGCTTTTAGCTTTTTTTTTTTTTTTTTTGTTTTACTACTTCATTAGAGAAAGTTCTTGAGAACAGTTTGTTCATTATTCATCAGACTATTTTCCGACAAAACATATTTTAATGACAATAATATATTATAAAAAAAAATTACAGAGCTACAATTTTTTGTGATAAAAAAGAAAAATGAATAATTTGATGGATTAATAAAACTAGAGACTCTAGTATAGACAGGTATATATATAGGATGTGAAAAGAATTGTCTATAGGTTAGAAAGTACGAGAAAAAGTATCTAGACAGATGTAAAAATTGAAAATCATATAAAAATATAATTTTTATCTAGATGAACAAATATTTATCTATTTTAGATTGAATAAATATACTTTTTACCAGATAGAAAATGGGCGGCACACAATCATCGTCAACTTCAACATCTTCTACAACAAATTCTACAACAACAGCGATGCAAGCTCAATTTGATGCACAAGTATCATCATTTTTAGAACATGCCAAACATGAATTTGAACAAAAATATAATACACCATCAAAACAGACAGCTAAACTAGAAGATTTTATTTTAAATAGAACAGTTGGAACAGGTTAAAATTTTATTCTATTTTTATCTTATTTTAATATTTGAATTAATTTCATTTTTTTGACAAAATAGGCTCATTTGGTCGTGTTATGGTCGTATCACATAATCATACAAATTATGCATTAAAAATAATGGAAAAAGACACTGTTGTTAAATTAAAACAAGTTGAACATACATTGGCTGAAAAAAGAATATTACAAGCAATTAAATTTCCATTTATTGTCAATTTAGCTTACTCATTTAAAGATAATTCACATTTATATCTTGTACTAGAATTTGCATCTGGTGGAGAAATGTTTACTCATCTAAGGTAAATTATTTAGTATTCCACATTAAAGTATCTATTATTCATTGTAAAATTTATTTAAATATTTTTAGAAGTGTTGGCAAATATTCAGAAGATCAAACGAGATTTTATGCAGCTCAAGTCGCATTAGCTTTTGAATATTTACATTTTTTAGGTAAGATATACTTTAAAATTTTGAAAAATCTGATTTATCTCGTATCTATTTATAATTTATTATTAATTACCTCTAGTATTGATGACATTAGATAGTGAATGAAAGATAATTTATCTTTAAAGATCTTAATAATATAATCTAAGACCTTCATTAAGATATAAATAAGATTTGATGACTCTACTTTCATCCATCATTTTGTTTAGCTGTTTTATACATTATCTTCATAAACAATATCAAAAATATAATTGACCTTATCAGTATCATTTTTCCTCTGGACTTTTTCCGCATTTGCTCCCAAGAGATTAAGTCCAAGTCCAAGAATGGATGTCTAAAAATATAAAAATTCTCTTCGATCTTCAGATTTGTTGGACTTTAATTTGATACTGCAGGATAGGAAATTCGAACGAGAATTTGGTGATGTAAAAGAAAATAGATCATCATTCAGATAAGATATCCAAACATTTTTTTAGTAAACTATGAATCAATCTTATCAAAAACATAATAATTCTTAGTAACATTTTAATAGATTCTCAACGGATCTTTAAAAAAAGCTTGTCAGTGTAGCCCCGTTAGAGCAAAAAATGTAAAAACTGACACATCATGGGGTGGAAGAAAAGAGTTAATCCTTCTATTTTCAAAAGATTTCTGACTTTAAAGCTCAAACTTCCATGTCCTTCAATTCGGATAAGTCTTTGAAAGTTTTCATAAATATTAGACAAAGTACTCACATGTTGATAAGATCTTATCAAAACTTAAAATTTTCGGGTCTATCGATCTTAGAAAAATTTGCCTAAGATTTTAGATAAACTTAAAGGGCAAAACTATATTGAAGAAGATCAACCAGTTGAACCGAAGAACTCTCTATCAGAGCGGTAGTTGGTAATTAGTATAAGTATAGGTAATCGTCTTCAAAGATTTTATTTTTCTAACTTTTTCTTGTAAATATAGTCATTTCAGCAATATCTATACTTCGTCACGATCTGACAGATGATGAGAAGACGAAGAAATTCTTCCTTTTTCTTTCATTAATTACTCAGATTTTTTTGTGGTTAAAATACTACAATGCGGATAAGTTCTGTTTTGGGCACGGTTTGTCAATTTTCGTGCCCCAAAACATCTTTTGACTGTTTTGGACACGGTTATTTATTTGGAAACGGTAATTAACCGAAATAGGTACGAGTCGCTAATTTCCGTGTCCAAAAAA